CTGGAGCCCCAGCTCCAGGGAACCCAGAGGGGTGAGGCAGGAGGGACTGGCAGGGAGAGCAAAGTCAGAGGAAAATGTGCTCTGGCCCCTTTTATTGGCCCTTGGGAGGCATTGTCCTCACCTTGCTCTGGGGGGGGGGGGTTGGGCAACTGCCCTTAATTCCTTCCTCCCAAGCAACGTGCCTTAGTCACGGAGGGCATTGCAGCGAGTGCCTTCTGTTTGCCTGGGGCCTGCTGCCATGGGCCCCGCGGACGGAGTACTGCCTTGGGAATCTGACCCATGGGTTGAGTTGCTGCTCAGTCTCTATCTCCTCAGAGCATGTTCCCCACTCCCTCGTTCCTCTGTTCTGTCATCCAGCCAATGATCAGGGATTGTGCCTGTCTTCTGCCCTGCTGTACCCCTAGCCCTTGGCACAGTCCTGGCCTGTGCTAGATGCCCAACAGGTATTTGTCAGAGGAAACCATGAGTTCATACAAACGGTTCCCTTCTGAAATTGTCATTGAGAATCAGTAGCCGGGTGGATTTCCCAAATGCCAATCACTTCCGTCTTTTGCCAACATTAAATCCCATCATTATTTCTTTTTTTCTTTTTTGGCTTCCAGCTTGCTAGTTTTCCACTGAAGTAGATTTATTTAAAAGGGAAATTTTATACCGCTGCCATAAGTCAACAGTAACTGTGAAAACAAATCCACAGAAAATGAAACAATGTTTTTGGGTTTCTATCCCAGACACCTTGCTTGCCCAAGGCTATGACCCCGAAGCCCACCTTCTCTTTGTTTATGAGGGAGAGTGACATGGTTATAACGATGGATGTTTAAAACTCTATTAGTCCCCAAATGACACTTTATTCTGGGGAAAATCCAACAGATTAAAAAAGAAGTGAAAAACGTAACTTGCTTTCTGTGAGTCCATGGTATGTGAAATCTTGTTGCATACTTTTGAAAATTCCCTTGGAGGGAATTCTCTTTCCACACTTGGCTAGATGATGGCTGGAGAGTCCTTAGAAAAGGATTAAGGGCTTTAATTAACAGGGTAAATGATTGGTATTCTGCTTCTTATCTTTAGTCTTGGCAGGATTTTGGTGCCTCCCACCTGGTAGGTGGTCAGTAAACACTCAACAGTGCAAAAAGGAGTAACGGTGTAGAGAATGTTAGGGCCCAGAGCGATCTTACGGAATACTCAGGCCGATCTGGCAAAAGTGGAAACGGAGTTCTCTGGGGTGCGATGGAGAATCTGCCACCTCCTGAGACCACAAGCACCTTGCTGACTTGCTTGCTGGACTGCTCTGGTGGCTAGGTGTCTGTCTTTCAGGTACACAGCCCAGCTACCCTGTACCTGGGTCCTATTCTTCAATGGGGAGATGCATAGACTCTCTTCTCTTTGCAGACTGCTGTCTCATTCTGCCTAAGACAGGGCTTGCAAACTCAGGTGAACACAGGAGCTAGCAAATGATGCCAATTAGTGAAGGACATCAGGTAGGGTAAGGGGGGTATGTGGTGGTGCTAGTGGTGTCCCCACCTGAACGGGACAGTCCTACTTCATATCTGCAGATTGTTGCCACAGGAGCCCAGCATGGCCAGGTGCTGAGATGGTCTAGGAAAACCTGAATATCTGATTTCGGATATTAAATCTTCAAGGTTATTTTTGTTTGTTTGTTTTTGTTTGTTTGTTAGATTTATTTATTTATTTGACAGGGAGAGAGAGAGCGAGTGTGCACAAGCAGTGGAAGCAGGAGAGGGAGAAGCAGGCTTCCTGCTGAGCAGGGAGCCCAGTGCGGGACTCCATCCCAGGACCCTGGGATCATAACCTGAGCCCAAGGCAGACGCTTAACCGACTGAGCCACGCGGGCACCCCAAAGCTTCAAGTTTTAAATGTTAGCAATACATAATTGTATTATAAAACATGGTGTGGTCCAAAGCCCAACCAACGAAGCAAGAAAACATGATGTGGACCAGTGGGCTTCCAGGTTAAGTCAGGCCCCTAGCCACAGACCGCTCACCGCCACTCCAAAGACTTCTGTTCTTGAGGAGGATGGGGCCGAGTGGCCCCATCCTCCTCAAGCCATGTTTGTGGGTGTCTGTTCCTAGAATTTCCTTCATGGTAATCAGCCCCTCGGTTTGCCTGTGTACACTGGTAAGCTCCCTCTCAGCCCGTGTCTGTCCTTTTTATCTGGCAAACGCCTACTCATCGTTTCAGATTCAATTCAGTTGTCCCCTGCTCTGGAGAGCTTTCCTCATCGCCTCAGGCAGACTGGCCCTTCCATTTTCTGGCTATGACATGATGTTGGGTAAACTGCTTAATCCCTCCATGCCTCAATTTCCTTCTCTGTGAAATGGGGATGATGATACTACCTACCTCATTAGATTGTCAAGAGGAGAAAAAGAATTTGTAGATACATTGATAGGCGACACATAGAGGATTCGTAGAAGGCAGAGCGCTAGTCCCTGATCCATCGCTGAATCCAGGCTTGTCACAGAGCAGGAGCTTGTTAAATGTTAGATCACTTGAGGAAGTGGGTAGAAGTAAAAATGTGATCCACTAGCTCCCAGAGGTCTGACTGTCATGATATGATGTGGTTGGGAATTCAACTTTTCCAAACCCCTTACTTTTAAAAAAGGCAACCAAAATATCTGTCTAAATGGCTAAAATGCAAAAACAGTGACACCACCAACTGCTGGCAGAGAAACTACATCACTCATACATTGCTGGTGAGAACGAAAAATGGTACAGTCACCCTGGAAAACAGTTTGACAGTTTTTTATAAAACTAATCAAATAATTGGCAAATGATCCAGCAGTTGTATTCTCGGGCATTTACTCCAAAGAAGTGAAAGCTTATGTTCACAGGAAAGCTGCCCGTGAAGGTAAGATCCCCAAACTGGAAACAGCCCAGACATTCCGCGGTGAGTGAATGGTTAAGCAAACTGTGGTACACTCACACAATGGAATACTACTGAGCAATAAAGAAGCATGGGCTATGGATACACACAACAATTTGAATGAATCTCAAGGTAATGATGCTGGTGAAAAAGTCAATCCCAAACGGTTACCTGCTGTCTGGTTCTATTGATACAATGTTTTTGAGGTGACACAGTTCTAGAGATGGAGATCAGTTGATTGCTAAGGGCAAGGATAAGAGTGCTTGGAGAGAAGGGCATTAGGGAATCCTTGTGTGATGGAACTGTTTGTATCCTGACTGTGGTGGTGGACACACAAACCTACACATATGATGCAATTGTGTTAAACTAATACACACACACACACACGAGTACATGTAAAACCAGGGACTTCTGAATAGATTGATAGGTTGTGTCAATATCAGGTTCTTGGTTATGATACTGACTATAGTTTTGCAGGATGTTATCCTGGGGACAAACTAGGTAAAAGTTGCATATTATTTGCTACAACTGCGTGTGGATCTACAATGATCTCAAAATAAAACGTGTAATTAATTAATTTAAAAAGCACTAAGGGCGCCTGGGTGGCTCAGTGGGTTAAAGCCTCTGCCTTCGGCTCGGGTCATGATCCCGAGATCCTGGGATCGAGCCCCACATCAGGCTCTCTGCTCCGTGGGGAGCCTGATTCCTCCTCTCTCTCTCTGCTGCCTCTCTGCCTACTTGTGATCTCTGTCTGTGAAATAAATAAATAAAAACTTAAAAAAATAATAAATAAAAAGCATTACAAGGTATCCACAACAAAACAAAATAAAAGCAACCAAAGGCGGCTGGCTTGTTTTGGCTGAGCCTTGCCTTTGGCTTATGTTTACTTTTGAAGTCAGGTTCACTCAGACCCTGAGGACCTTTGCCCTCTGAGCATGGCCAAGCCAACCCCTTCCCCATTTGCTTGTCTGCCCTCCAGTCTCAGAGCTGGGAGGGATGTGAAGAATGATCTGACCCAGTCTGTGCTCCCAGGGGTCACACCTAATCCTGGTCATTAGCCCCTGGAGGACGGGAAGTCCAGGAGTAAAGCAGGGAGCCCAGAAGATCAGCGATCACTTCTTGAAACCCAGGGCTGTCCTGACCCCTGGGGACCAGCAGGCATTTCCATATTACCCAAATGCGGAACTGTGCCAGTCTTTCTCTTGCCCAGCACCCCACAATTCTCCACCAGCCTTGCCTGTGGGGTCCCAGATGGGCTGAGTTTACATGTCCCTACTCTTTTCCCTCCAAGCTGTTTCTCTCTGCTATTAGGTGTATAACATTTTTTGGTCAGCTCTTTTTATTCCTAGCAATTCTGGGAGGTGGAGACAATATTTTATAGGTGGGAAAAGAGGCTTAAATATGTTCAAGTGATCATTCCAGGACCCTTTTCTGGTGTGTCTGAGAGCCCATAGGGTCGGTGCTGAATGAAGACAGGGACCAGCTAGCGTTAGACTGAAATTTTGTTGACTTCATATTGTTCAGGAGTCCATGAGAGCAAAAAGTGTGATTAAAAAAAATTTTTTTTTAAGGTCAGCCAAAGACGAAAATTTCAACTAACATTTTCTAGTTCTTAAAAGTTCAGCTATTACCAAACTTCTTTGTCTTAGGACCCCTTTATACTATTAAAATTAAAGATGTCCAAGAGCTTTTATTTATGTGGGTGATATCTGTCACTATTTACCATATAACAAATGAATGCTGAGCAATTTAAGATATGGTATTAATTCCTTTAAAAGAAACAAAAATTCCTGATATGTTATAACAATATAACAAGCCCCTTATATGTTATAACAATATAAAGACCTTATATGAAATAACAGTGTAACCTCCCCGCCAAATTAACAATTCTGTGACACGATGGAGGTGTTAGCCAAGGCTGCAGTGGTAATCCTATTGCCATAGATAAATGTATCAGATCAACACTTTGTATGCCTTAGACTTACACAATGTTATAGGTCAATTCCATCTCAACTTAAATATAATAGAAGCAAGTGTTTGGCACACGGGGCGAGTACCACCCTCAGATCGGAGTTTCGCGCCTGACCCGCACGTCCATCTGTGTCTCTCTCTCCCCGCACAGGCCCCACGATGAGGCCCCAGCCCCGCAAGAACCCCCGCGCCACCCCGGCACCCGGCGCCCCGCGCTAGCACCACCCCCTCCCCCGCCAGGGTGTGGGGAGGCGCCAAGGCCATGGCCAGCCACGTGGACCTGCTGACCGAGCTGCAGCTGCTGGAGAAGGTGCCCACGCTGGAGCGGCTGCGCGCCGCCCAGAAGCGCCGGGCGCAGCAGCTGAAGAAGTGGGCGCAGTACGAGCAGGACCTGCAGCACCGGAAGCGCAAGCACGAGCGGAAGCGCAGCACGGGCGGCCGGCGGAAGAAGGTGTCCTTCGAGGCCAGCGTGGCCCTGCTGGAGGCCTCACTGAGGAACGACGCCGAGGAAGGTAGGCCCCTCTGGCCCCAGGTCAGCCCGGGGCTGGGGCCGGTGCCTCCTGCCCTGGCGGGGGGTGGGGATGGGGCCCGGGGGTTGGGGGGAGCTGGCCGGGTCGGGTCTGCGCCGGGCGCTCCGCGTGCTGCTGGGCTTTCCCGGGCCTTGGCTGCGGCCCTGGACGGTGTAGGGCCTTGGTTAATGGCACGGACCCGCGCGCAGACTGCCCTCGCTTCTGAAACAGGTTTTGTCCGTTCTTCCCGGCGTGACTCTGGCAGGGAGGCAAGTCACCTCGGTTCCCTGTACCTGAGGGTCAACCTCTGTAACACGGGGGTCAACACTGGCATCCGCCTTAAGGGTTTGCTGTGAGCTTTGGGTTAGCGAATCCCGCTAAGCTATTGGGTATGTGTGGTCCGTCGTACTCTGTGAGTGGGTATGAGTATGTTTTATTGTATGATTCCTATATTTTATTTCATTATATTTATAGAATGAATGTCTGTCTGTGTATATATATCATTTGTATAATATCACATTTGTATCTACATGTATATATATATAACTGCTCATGTGTGGAGTGTCCATGAAGTCTGGAAACAGAGGAATATATACAATGTTGTCTAGGACATTTTCACTCTATTAAGCAAACTAATAAAAAAACATAAATGCAAATACACACTCATAGCATCCGTTTCCAGATGTTATGGATACCCTGTACTGGTTACATTTTACTTAATTATGTTATTATATGTCCCCTGATCCAGATATCATGATACCCTAGAGGCAGGTATAATAAACACCCACTTTACAGATGGGAACACTGAGACCCAGAGAGATTCAGAACCTTGACTGAGGTGGCAGAGCTGGGACCAGAAACCACGGGATCCAAGCTCTTGTCCCTGGCCTCATGGCCTTGTAGGTTTGTTTCCTGTTGTATGAATGATTGGAAGATCCATGATTCGACCAGCTTTCTTCTCTGAGGATGCTCTCAGGGGTCATTGCATGGCTGAGGTTTGTGTGTGTGTGTGTCCTGTGTTCCCCTCGGCAGCCTCCAGTCTCCTTCCGGCATAGGAGTCCTTTCTGGCTGTCCCTGGGAAAGGCCCAGGGGGTCTTTCCGGGGTCCCTCTGGCCTCCCACCTCCACACACATGCAGCGCTAAGACAGTCATGGATGGAGGGATGGCACTTCCCGCCCCAGAGGGTGTTGGGTTTTATGCACATTGCTCCTCAGGTTCTACCACCTTCTGAGAAGTGCAGTTTCCCTTCTGCCCTGGTTGCACAGTGCTCTGGGAACCGAGCAGAAGCATTCCCAGAACTACTCAGCCAGAAGGAGCACAGCTGAGAGCCTGGGGTGAGCAGCACCCGGGAGAGAGGCATGAAATGTCGGGCTCGGGGAACCAGCCCTGCGAGGATCCTTCCCACGTGAGGTGCTGGGTGACGTGGCAGACCCATCCCGCTCAGTGGGCGGCACATCAATGATGTCTAATTTGTGTCGTGGGTGGCGGTTCATCAGCTCTTCTTTGCCACTCATCTTTTCCTCCCTCCTTCCCTGACAAAGCCGTGTTCTGCTCCCTGAAGGGACTCTGCGAGCTGGCTGACAGCTGCTCCAGAACTTCGGTGCCTCCCCAGCCCTGGCGCGGCCCCGCACCCTGCCAGCCTCCCACACGGCCTGGTGGGGAGGAGCTCCAGGCGCGTGGGGCCAGGACCGCAGGCCCCCTCAGCCCTGTGTGTGACCTTGAGCGGCTGGTTTCACTGCTCTGGGTCCAGCTTCTTAGTCTGTAAAATGGACTTTTGAACCTTGTCCTCAAGGGGTGTGTGTGACAAAAATGAGACAAGACCCTAAATGTGACAGCTCGCTGAAAAGTGACCCTGAAGGCTGCACCAGGGTGGTGACCGTTCTAACATACTTTGTTTTTAAGAGCCCAAATATACACAAACACGTTTTTCTTGTAAAAATAAGCACAGAAGCATACAGAGGAGAAAGTTCCCCCCTCCACTCCTTCTTTCTGTTAGTTTGATGTGTTTCCTTCTAGGCATTTTCTTTACTTGCTTGTGTATTTGTCTAGTTGGAGTTTTTTGGTTTTGTTTTGTTTTTACATAAGCGATAACATGCTGGATACATTACTCTGCAATATTCTCTCCCTTTTCTTTTCTTTTTTTTCCACCCAACAAGATACCTTGGAGGTGTTTTCATGCCAGTACCGTGCAATTACAGAGCTGTATTATTCTTCTTAACTGCTGCATAGTATTCCATAGTAGGGTTTCCCCAGAAGTTTTGAACTGGTTCCTTAGTGATGGGCATGGAGGTTTTCTCAGCAGTTTTGCCTTTGCTCAAGTGAACTTCTTGTGCACACAGGTAGATGTTGATCAAGGACAGATGTGGGCAAATGGAAGAGTTGGATGCAAGCGTATGTGCATTAAATTTGAATGAGAAAAGTGCTGCCCCCTTGAGCCGGTCCCTGGCCTTGGGGCAGCCAAGTGAGGGTGGAGGGCCAGAGCACTGTGTGCTGGGGTGGGCCGTAGGGTGGGGAGAGAGGTCCCCCTGCAGCCCATAGGTGGCTGGGTTGGGGCTGGGGTGTGAAGCTTCCATCAGTACCCGTCAGCAGGCAGTCTGGCCGGGCTATGCTCAGCATCCTGGCAGTATGACAGAGCCCGCTGCTCCCAGCTGGCAGGGATGGTTTCTGTGGCTGGCGGAGCCGGTGCTGGGGAGGTTGCAGGGGCGTTAGCTCGCAGCGGGATGGGAATGGGGGTGGCGGCTCCCCCGCTCCCTTGAGCTCACAGCAGTGGCTGAGTCAACCTCCTCCACCTGCCAGGGCAATGTGAGTCGACCCAGAGAAAGGCAGCGCTGGAGAGGGATGCACTATACTTCCTCCTCTGGCTCTGCATTGTCGTCAGGCTAACGTCTGGGCCCCGGGGATTCTTCTTGGTCTTGGACCTGCCTGAACCCTACCCTTTTGTGTCCCCGGCCTAGCATTGCCCTGTGTTCCAGCCGTCTCCAACTCCAGCTTCCTCTCATATGCCCTTCGTTCTCTTACCTCCCTGCCTTTGCATATGCAGTTCCTTCTGTCTGGAACACTCTTTTGCTTGATTCCTATAACGCTAGGAGTTGGGTCTTGAGTGACCTTCTTGGGGAGCAGTCTGTGAGCCTTTTCTGCACCCCACCCCATCACTAGTTAGAGCAGAAATGCAGTACACAGCTAACATTTACCGAGAGGCAGTGCAGTGTTGTGGCGAGGAACGTGGACTCTAGGGCTAGTTCTCCAGAATTGAAGTCTCAGCTCTGCCACGCACTAGCTGTGCGATGTCAGCAAAGTTACTAAACTTCTCAGGGCCTCAGTTTCCCCATCTGTGAAAATGAGGATGATAGAATACAGCTGCCTCAGAAAGTTGTCGTGGGGTTAAAATGAGTTTACAGATGTTGAAGTGTATGCTAAGGGGTAGATTTTAGTGCTATAAATTGTAGCTATTCTGCATTATCTATGGTCAACACTTATATAATCTGTACTAGTGTATACACTGATTATCATTGTTAGTTATTTATTGAGTGCTTACTTTGTATCAAAAGTTATCTCAGTTAATCCTCACGATGACCCTCTGAGGGGCAGTCAAATCTCATTTTTTAAAAAGAGCTCTATTGAAATAGGTTTAATTGACATGTCACAAAATTTGCTGATTTTAAGTGTGCAATTCAGCGATTTTCGGTAAGCTTACGGTGCGGCACACCCATCACCGGAACCCAATTTTTGAACGTTGCATCACCCCCAAGAGAAACCTTGTGCCCATTTGTAGTCACTCCTGGTTCCCACCCCTGCCCCCAACCCTAGGCAACCACTAATCTCTTTTCTGCCTCTATATCCTTGCCTTTTCTGGAATGTTCCACTTAAGAGAGTCATCCAATATGTGAGCTTTTGCGATCAGCTTCTTTCACTTAGAAAAATGTTTTCAAGGTGCTTTCAGGTTGTGGCATGTGTCAGGGTTTCATTTCTTTTATTGCGCTGTAGTATGCCATTGTACGGATATGCCACATCTCGTTTATCCATTCACATTTGGATTGCTTCCATTTGGGGTAATGATGAATAATGCTGCTAAGAACATTTTTGTATAAGTCTTTGTGTGGATGTATGTTTTCATTTCTCTGGGGTGGTTACCTAGGACTGGAATTGCTGGGTCGTATGGCAAATTTGGGTTTAACATTTGGGAAGCTGCAAACCTGTTTTCCAAAATGGCAGACCCATTTTGTGTTCTCAAACCTCATTGGACAGATGAGAACATTGAAGCTCCAAGAAGAATGTCACCTGCCAAAGATCTCACAGGTTTTTGGCATCAGACCAGGGACTCAAATCCACATCTGATGTCTTTGAAACCTGTGCTTTTAACTGCCAGGCAGACCTGGCACCTCATGCTCTGGATTTTCCCTAGGAAATGAGAGAGCCACTCACTCGTGGTTGTGACCTGTGTCTCTTGGGGCCCGACGGCCCTGCTGCTCCTGCCAGCCTCTTGGGCCCTTGGCACTGGTGGTGATGGTGGTGGGGGTCCCTGGGTAAGCTCTTCATCCCAAACTATAACCTCTTTCCTTGGCCACATGAGCTAGCCTCAGTTGAAAGCACCCAACATTTGTTAAGTTGTCAGAGTTCCTGTTCTTCTCTCCGAATGTTGGAGGATTTCCTTTATGGAAACTCTGTTCACATTCCCAAAAAGAGTTTGAGTGTTTCTTCTATAGCCTAATTTTAACTCTTCAACTGTTATTCTCACGGTAAAGGTTTTCAAACTTTTTTTTTTTTTTGAGCAGTGGAAACTTTTCTTTATGTGAAATTATGCAGAAACTCAATATGTAAAAAGGGTGAAAGAGCTATTCTGGCTGAGGCTCTGCGGGTGGCGATGGTGGCCACTGGGCCCTCACCCTCCAGGCACCCAGCGGGCCTCTCCCCGGCTCGCAGGTGCTCTGGCGCACACCTGGGCTGCGTATGCCGTGCTTAAACCATCAGCTCCTCCAAAGGAAACAGAGGTCTGTGGCTGGCGG